AGTAGCACGAGAAGATGCACGAAGTGGTGTTGGGACGGCACTTGTGGAGGTGTGGCCTTCCCACACACACACACACACACACACACACACAACAGCACCACCTCCAACACTACCAACAGGGGGAGAACAATTGAGAATAGGAGAGAAAACTACAACAGAAGCGGTGACAGAAAGCGCTGCGGTGCTAAACTTGGGGAGGGGAGAGAGAGGGAGGGGGGGGGCCAAGAACGCTGATGGTACCTCGACAAAGGTATATTGTGGAAGCAGGTATATAAGGAGAGCAAAACAAGAAAGGAACAAGAGCTGATTTGAAGCAACGCTGCATTCGTTCGAATTGCTGCGCAGGGCATAGGAGTTGTTTCGGTAGAGTAGGGATGCATTTAGAGGACATCAACGAAAACAAGAAAGAGAGAAGAGGAAGGGAAGGAGTTGAAGAATGTGATGTGAAGGCTACAAAAAAAGACCGTACGCGCTCTATTCAAGTGCGTGTTCGCGGAGGACATCATTCCGTTTTTGATGTTCTATGCCGCTGCGAATAGGGACTTGTGCAGCAAACACTTTCTGCCCGATACGACGTGCGCGGTGGAAGGCCAGACACATCCATTGCTGTTGTAATACTGCAACTTTGATTTCGTACCAGCAATTTGTGGCTTCTGCGCAACGCGTAAAAAAACAAAAAACCCAATTAACAGCATCAGCAACAAAAGGCATCCGTTTCAACTAACTACGCTGGAGAGGAAGAGAAAAACATGTGCGCTGATTATTTCTTTGAGACACCACTGCAAACAAAAAAACGAGTGGCTTCACACACACACACACACACACACACATGAAGGAAGACAACAAAAAACCCATGACCCCAGAAAAAAAGACCTCCCTTCCCCTCCTTTCCCCAAAAGCACCTCGCTAACACATCTATGACCATAACAAAAGTAGCGTGATATATCAATATCAAGCTGGGTCAGTACCGCCCCCAGAAAGCACGGTGAAGCACGCATTATTCTTTTTAAAAAAGAGAAGAGAAAGTCATGCAACCCGAGAAGCACCAAAGGAAATGCCGACCCCGTGCGTTTTTCCCATCGCCTAGCTTAGACAAACAGTTGAAGCGGCCCTCGTCCGAGCGAGGTGACACGTTGGAAAACCGTCACATACTGACCATAGGCAGAAATCACCGCCAACGCACACAGCCCTGCCATCGCGCTGGTGCCCACGGCAACCAGCTGCACCGTTGACATGGACTCGAGTTTCTTGAAAAAGTCGGAGCCGTCCGCAAAGCGTCGGGACGCGTCATACTGCATGCGCTTGTCCGCGTCGATCAGCGTGTCGTATGCTTCATTGATAATGGACATCTGCTCCCGCGCCTGCTGCTGCGCAGCGGTGTCCTTGCGGACGCGATCGGGATGGTTCTGGAGCGCCTTCGCCCGGTAGGCCTTCTTAATCTCCGGCGCCTTCGCCTGATCCGTCACACCCAACACGTCGTAAAAGTTCCTTCCGCTGTTAGAGGATAGACCAAAAATGGAGGAAGATCCGTTGCTCGCCCCTCCGGCGGCGTGTCCAGCGGCATCGCCGCTGCTGGGACCGCTCGTGAAGGCAAAGGCGGCGCGTGCCGCAGCGGCCTGCGCGCGGGCCGTCTCCTCCGCCTCCTCCTCTATTCTCGTGTCTTCCATCTCGTCCGCGACGGTGCGGGGGTGGCGACGCTCGAGGGCTTCGCGGAGAGCAAATCCTACCCGCATACTGGCGTAGTGAATCGCAGGCGAGAGCGCCAGCAACGCCAGATGCTCGCACCAGAAGATGCCGCCGCCGGTCGGCTCGTGTGAGTACTTCTGGCCGATGAGAATGCCCGACACGCGCGCCATGTACACCAAGGTTGTCTGCGTCGCGACCACCGCCAAGTCGCTCAAGTACGGTTTCCAAATGCGCCACTTCGAGGTGGACTTGCGCCGCTCTTGGTAGAAGTACACGTACCACATGATCTGTTCCGCAGTGAAGAGTGAAACGTCCGACACGAAGCCGCTAACAAAAGCGGTGTAGTAGGGACGGGTCCGATAGCTATAGAGGTAGTACTGCAGTGCATCCCGGTAAGACTCCGGCATCCCGGCGAACGGCTCCGCACGGGACGGACGCGGGGGGTTTCGATAGAAATTCATCTCTGCATCGCTTTCTTCTCCGCGTTGGAACAGCTTTGGTGCCGCGGGGGTGGAGGTGGAAGACTTCGTTCGTGCACCGGCTGACACTGCCGCCGCCTTGCCGCCACTGCCACCGCCGCCGCCTCTACGCCGCAGAAAGCTTGGACAGAGGAAGCGGCCAACGCACCGCAGCAGCCGCGTAAACCAAAACCGCGAGTACCGGTAGTCGCGGACAATAGGGAAAATGTAATGAAAGGCGATAGCGTCCTTGCAGAAGTCGGAGTCACTGTACATGCACACCGCCGATACGCCGCACTCCAGCAGGCGAAAGAGCAGACGCTCGCTGAGGAGGCGGCTGTAAAAGTTCAGGAGGGCGGACGGCTGGAAGCCGCTGTGAAAGAAGGAGAACCAGCCGTTCACGTCACACAGGGCCTCCGTGACGTCCATGTGGAAGAGGGAGCTTTGCATGTAATCGCCGAAGAGCAGCCCGGCGAGCTCTACGCCATGCAGCGGGGCAGCGAAAAGAACAACTCTGTGATGCAACATTCTCCTTTGGTTCTTCCTATATAAATATAAGAGTTAATAGAGAGAAGCGAAGCCGGTTACTCGGATGTCAACGTGATGACCACGGACCGCGAAATGACTCTGTGAAAGAGGGAGTATCAACAGAGAGCAGAAGAGCAGGTGAGTCGAAAAACGAATTATAGAGGACGAAAGCAACAGCAATTACGGTGTATTGCAAAAACTGGTTCTATTCGCAAAAAAAAAAAATAACAACAACCGGACCACCTTCGTAGACGTCAAGGCAGACCGCTTCGAACGCAATCGTGAACGTTTCTGTCAGAAAATGACGAGGGCAAAAGCACCACCACAACGGGAAAAAAAAGGAATTAGCTTCCACAGCTCTACCGGCATAACAACGAAAACGATTTGCTGATCTGAGAGGAGTTCGATGCGAACAGACACGTACGCGTGTGTACTCGATGCCGCTACGTGGTGCGCTGCGCGTGCAAAAACTGCCAAGAAGGCCTACGCACAACGTGGAAGTGGAAGTCGAAACAACCTCCCCCCAAAAGGAAGAGTAGAAGCAAAAGAGGAGGAAGAAGTAGAGGAGGAGGAGAGTAGAAAGAATATGACAGAATGCACCAATGCCGTTGATCAGCCAGCGCACGTCAGCAGTGAAAGCTGAAAGCTGCGCAGTGACGTTGTCAAGTAATAAAAGTGAAGAAAAAGACATAAGGGGCACGACCGACCGCGCACACTGCACCTCATCCCAAAACCAGCAAAAACATCCAAGGCACCTCATCCCCACGCTCATCTGTCCTGTTATCCATCGAAAAGCCAGGACCCGTGCTGGGAGCACAGCACGTAGTTGGAGAAGATCCACGACGTTTTTTTTTTTCGAAGACAACGTTTTATTGATTCGTTTGAGGCGTCATTCCTTTCGTGGAAGGCCTCTCTACACTTGGTGTCCTCGCTTCAGACGTTGCAACAGGCAGCCCACGGTTGATCAGCAGTTTTACTGCGCGAAAGGAACGCAACGATACACAGATCCCGATACACACAAACACACACACACACACACACACACACACACACACACACACACGTCAAGAGCACGCGTACTAAGTGTCAAGTAGGACAGATGAAGTAATACT